ATTTTCACTGACTGGCTTTCTTGCCTGCATTGCATGCCAGCCTCTGGCTTCTTTACTATTCCTTTCATCCAGGAACAGCGCACACACCAACTGCAGGTGCTTCCTAAGCCTGACAAGGGGATTTTCAAACTGAAACCTTGCTAAGATATATTTCTATAACTATTCAGTTGGTCTGCTAAAAGATACCAGATTAGATTGACCCAAAGAACCTTGTCTGCCAGTGCCATGTCCTTAGACCAACACCCCTAGCACCTGACTGGAAGGATGCAGGGCCCTGGGCACATCTAAGCCCCAGGGCTGGGGCTGGCAGGGAGAGTTCTCTGGCAACTGCTGGAAAAGAAGCCCCTGCAGGAGCAGAAAGAAGGGCTCTGTCACAGTTTGGCTCCCTGAGATTCTGCTGGTGCTACTGTGCTGCTCACTAAGTTATTATTATCTGTTGTTATTTGAAATGGTGGACCGTACTGGGGCTGTAGGGGAGGAGACCTTGTTGGGGCACACTACCGTGTCATGTAGAGGCCGCATTGCCAGTGAGGGCACCACCCTCCCCATGAGTTTTGCTTGTCAGCAGCCTGAGGTGCAGTTTCCCAGAAACCTCTGCACCTATCTCCTTGAAATTTGGCAGGCATTGTGGCCTCAGCAGGGGTGACCATGCATGCTGTTTTCATCCAAATCTGCCACAAAATGACAAGGTAATAGGCAGTTTCATGCTTCCCTATTATATCTTATGGGTGAAACAGCAAAACAGTTTCAATGAAACAAAATAGAGCAGAACAGTGCTTTCAGAACTAAATGAAACTTGAAACAGTCCTGTTGAAATGGCAAAACGGAAGTCAAAACGAAATGGCACTGTTTTGCACAGCTGTAATGTCTCCCTCCTGGGCTCTTATGGGCTATAGGCTCCTTGCCACCGATGGTCTCTGGCTGTGGTCCCTGACCTTTGGTCTCCTTAGAACCTGGCTGCACTCCTAAGCTAGTTGGGATCTCTGAGCTGCTTGGCCCCAGCAGTCTTTGGCAGTGGTCCCCAATTTTCACTAGACCCTGGCCCAGCTCCTAGGTCAGTGAGACCTTTGGGCTCCCAGGCCCTACTGACAACTGCCCCTCCTGGGCTCCAGGCTCCCAAACCTCGGTTCTTGCCCCTCCTGGGCTACAGGCTCCTTGGCCCACTTGGTCTCTGGCTGTGATCCCTTACTTTCGGTCTCGCTAGACCTTGGCCCAGCTCCTAGGGCAGTTGAGCCTTTTGGGCTCCCTTGGTCCTGCTAATATTTGCCACTCCTGGGCTCCAGACCTCTGGGCCCCAGCCCCTCTCTTCCTCTGGCCCCTTTCCTTTGCTGGGCTTTGGGCACCCTAGCTCTCTGTTCTCTGCCACCCCTGTTGAGGCTGTGCGCTCACTCGCCCCTGTTCTCAGGTTTATATGTATTCCAAGGCCTGCCTGTCCAGGCTGTGGGTTCACCTGCCCCTATTCTCAGGCCTGTCTATTCCAAGGCCTCTGTGTGGCTTACCCAAGCCCCGCTGTTGTGGTAGGAGCCCTGTTTCCAGCAGCTTCACTCTCTGGCCTCTGGGGCTAGATTACCTGACCAGCTTAGGCCCTGAGTTTATCTGTCTCAAGCCTGGCCCCCTTCTGGTCAGATGACTCCCCAGTTGGGGGGAGGGGGGGCTGCTCCCCAAGCAGCCTTTTTTCTCTTATAGTGACAGGTGTGCCAAGCACTGTATTTATATAGGCTTGTATTTAAACTGTAGAACCAAATCCCTGTAGTGAATATTTGCCTCAGATTCCATTTAAAAATAACTAGCAAAGCTCTACTGATAGCTGAAGAGCATTGTGTATAAGCTCTGGTCCCTTTTTAATGCTTTTATTTCTATATCGGTAGCTGTTACAAATAAATAAAATCACTAAATTGGTGCTGTTTGAGGCTCCCCTGTCACCTTGGGCACCTAGACTGAATTTAATTTGATAGTAGGAATTATCCACAGGGGAACAGAGTCCCAAGATGTGGCTGACAGTTGCCCTTTCATCACATTGGCTGAGTTGCTATAAAGCTGACCAACTATAGGTTTTGTTGCTGCTAGAATGCAAGTAATTTGTATTAATATATTTAGGGGAGAAAAAACAAATGCAGAGTCACTAGTAGTGTGAGGCACTGCTTCAGATTTAAAAACTGCTGTAAATCTAATATATTACACACAAATAAGCAGCAGCCTTTGGTATAGCATACTTTTCAGTAGGGCTGTCTTGGAATAAACGACTGCACAGAGCTGTAAGGCATGGAAGTGGTGGGTAGTGATGGCAACAGCAGGAACTGTTGCTGAGTTGGGAGCTGGAGTCACACTTCTGAATCCCCCAGTACAAGTCTGGCGTCATTCCAAGGCCTGTGATCCTTGTAGAATGAAACACTTTGATTAGAGCAGTGAAAACACTTTGATGCCAAAACCCCCCAAAGCCACTCAGAACTCAGCTTATGTTCCACTGAACAGCTGTCACTCTGCTGCACCAAAAGCCAACAGAGAGTGACATTGTTTGTAGCCATCATTCCTCACCACTGTTAGAACAGGGCATCAATAAAAGATAAACGTCTTCCTTTAAAAACAACTCTCCTCGTGCCCTTGTGTTTGTTTGTTTTGTTTTTTGACATGGTTTTTAGCATTTGTATGTTGGCAGATGCTGATAATTGCATGACTCTACAGTCAGGTCACAGGTCACTATACACGTAGCTTCTCTTGTTGGAGGTCTCAAACCTGTGATCTTTTCTTCTGGTACACCACATTCCTTCCATGTCCGCTGTTTTTACTCCCATCTGTTGTATGCTTTTGAGAAGCGTGTTCCCTTTTTCTAGTGAAGGGAATTAGATTAAATCGTAAGTGTCCCATCTTCCTCTCTCAGGGGTCCAATTGTATAAGGAATTAGAATCATTCTGTTTCTTTCCTTATACTGCAGGAGGAAAAAGCCAAAGCATACAAGAAGGAAAAACAGCGAGAAAAGAAGAGGAGGGCTGAGGAAGACTTGACATTTGAAGAGGATGATGAAATGGCAGCTGTGATGGGTTTCTCTGGCTTTGGCTCAACCAAGAAAAATCACTGATGAGCCTTGGACTTCCCTCTTTCTTGATACAGATTTGTTTATACCTAGGGGACTGTGGAAATTTCTTTAAAGACTTGACAGAACTTGTATGTAATTATCCCAGTAGAAGCTGGCTGGAGCGGCTGAGAAATGATTCTACACTGAACCTGCGCTACAGAACAAGTTGTGCGCCTTTCGTTAGTGCCCCACTGCCTGCAGAGCCTGACTGGCAAACTTGTAAATTTTAAATAAAGAGACCTTTAAATTAGTCTTTTCTCCAAAAAATCCCCCTGTCACACTCTGTAGTAAATTCTACAGAGTTGTCATGGTATTTGGCTTTGATTCTTTTAATCTATTGTATAGAGTCTGCAAGCTGAATGTTTCTTCTGGAAACCCTATGGCCTTTGGCCATCTCATTCTTTGTACTAGTTCTGGCTGCTTGTCACTTGGTGTTCTTTGGCCTTGTGCGTACGGGAAATATTTTGCTGGATACTTTTTTGTGTTAATAAATTAATAAAACCCTGTACAGACAGTGTCATTCAGGAATCATTCTATCTGTAAAATGGGTATAATTTTTGTTTCCTTGAAATGTAGGTGGCAATTCTAACTTTCTTTTTTTAACCATGCAACCAAAGGAGTTGCACTTGAATGAGTGTTTACTCTGGGTTGTGTAAGTTGACATTTTGATTTCTTGTTTTAAGCAGAGCTTGAGGCTGTTTGGACTCTGAACATACTGAAACTTTCTTTTATACTTTATCTGTAATGAACTCTCCTACTTTCGTAGATTTTTCTTAAATTCATTGACATAACCACAGTTTCGTTAGCATGGGTAAGAAATACCTCTCTGGGATTTACCTAAGGGAAAAAACCCCCAAATATTGCATGTTATTTGCCAAAAACAAAAAAATGTTGAAAACTGAGTTTTGTAGGGTTTTTAAATGAGAGCTGGGGTTCTGTTGAATTTAGTAGGTAAAAGCTCTTGTGGCATATATAACTTTGGGGAAGGGGCATATTTGGAAGTCTGGTGTATGTATTTTATTGGGAATCCCAGGCTGGCATTTCTTGCCTAAGGTATAAGTGACCTGTAGTTTTTTAATGACCACTTATATTCACCCCTACATTAATCTAAGCTTGTTTAGGGGCTTTCTCTTTCCCATCTTGTGTCTGACTGGGGGAACTACTTTCTGAGTCACTTCAGCTTTGCTGGTTCCCTAAATCCTTTTCATTGCTCCCTTTTATTTACTTTAGTCAAATCCTCTGTGACTCATCTGCTTTACTGGTTAGGAGGATTTACATCTCCTGCAGCTGATTTTTTTTATAGTCCTTTTATATTGATGGGATCGTTGTTCTTGCCCTTCTCTGTACCTGTATGAAATTTCAGACCTAAGGAAGGGCTGCAATGTATTTAGTCATCTTTTTTTTCTAATACATGTAGAATAAATCCTATAATGCTTTGCTGCTGTTTTAATTCCTTAATCTTAGACTGCTGACAGCTTCATTGCCTCGGACATTTCCACTTCAATTCAGATTATAATCCCCATTGAAGATGCTATTGAAATGATATACAGCCTGTAGCATTGCCAGCTGAGATACAACTGTCCTTGGTGATTTGCCCCTTTAAACTCAAAAATCTTTTTAGTTTAGCTCAAACTCCCTAGTGCAGAAAATGGAAAAATTAATTTCATTCCAACCACATACCTTTCCCTGTTCAAACCAAAGCACAAGACTTGCATTTGAATGTCTGAGAGAAAAGCTGTCTATGATTTGTAGCCTTTTGAGTGTAGGGGGAAAAGGGATTATACTACCATAGACCTGTTTCATGTGAATTAAAAGTTTATGATGTTTTGGATATCATTTGTAGATCAGCCATTTTTACCCTGGTTAGCAGCATTGCAGCCAGCCCTGGACCCTTTCCTTCCCCTTGCCTCCTCTGTGGTCAGACACATTTGCAAACAGTTCATTGCTGCAGACTCAAATAATTAAGTTTGGTTGATGTTAATGAGAGGCAGCATGGTCCACTGGATGATGGGGAGCAATGGGGCACCAGGACCTCCTACATCTTGGCTCTGCTCTTGAGGGTTGCATGACTGTGAGAGTAGTTAGCTGAGCTCTTCAATACACTATATGAGTATTAAATGCTAAATTACTCCTTGGCCACAAGATAAATTCACTCTCACTTTGCTGGCAAACAGGTTGGGGTGGGTGTTGCTTCTGATGGAATAATGTGAAATTCAGTTAAGCAAGACTTTATCCCCTTGCAGCCATGTTAAGGTTAAGATGAGACCATTCATGCCTAGATCTAGATACGTTTTTGATGCTCTTTGGTTAGGTGTGCAGCATTACCAATAAAGTATTATCAGTGGGAGAAGGTAGACCCTAGTATCCCCTAAATATCTTGGAGTGTGTATTTTGCTTGCAGGGATGGATACAAATTGTCTCCAAGGTCTCCTGGAAAAGGGGAAGATACCTCTGCAGAATAGTGGGTGGGAGATGTTTTCTGTTTGCTTGATTTCGTCCCCAGTCTGCATTAAAAGCTTTTTACCTAAACCGAAGCCTGAGGGCATCTCCCTCAGCTGGGCCTAAGCATCCGCCTACACAAACCAGTATCTTTGCCTACTTCCTCCATCCCAGTGCTGGGTTTGTGCTCTCGAGGGGGAGGCTCTTTGTCTTGGTTACTTGCTGGGAGCAGTGGAGTGTGCAGTAGCAGAGATACAGGCTCTTGCTGGATTCCCAGCAGCAGGAGCTGCCTCTAGCCAAGGATGAAAAGCCAGTTTCATGGGAGGAAATAATATTTAGAAAAGAGGTTAGATGAACACCTTGCTGGGATCGTTTAACCCCAGTACTCTTTCCTGC